TTTTTTCTTTAATTTAGTATATTATGTTTTAATTTCAGGTTAAATTCCGAAGAAAATGTGAATGATAATTTAGTGGACAATAATAATGATATATGGAATTATCACATTAAGGTTAAATATCTAGCATCATCACAGATACTTGAAAGTTCTAATTCAACCATGGAAGCAGAAGTTAAACAATACTTAGATTTACCATTGATAAATATAAACAATGATGTTTTAGCTGTTTGGGAATCATACAAAACGGTATTTCCTCATTTATATGTTGTAGCTCAAAAATACCTATCAACAGTTTCATCTTCCGTTCCTTCTGAACGGCTTTTTTCAAAAGCTGGAAACTTAATAACGGAAAAAAGAAACCGTATTTCTGAAAGTAGGATTTCTAAGCTATATTTTTTACAAACAATACCAGCAAAGTATTGGGATCTTTAAAAATATAATTATTATTTTTATATGCTCAAGTTTGATGTTGTTATTTTTCTTTTCTCAAAAGAATATTATTATGTTATAAATATTAAGTGTTATTTATATACTTTTACACAGTCTTATTTTATATTTTAAATTTTGATTTGGTTTTAATAATAATATATTGTTACAAATTTGTTTTATTTATTATTTTTTTAATTAAAAATTATAATGAAATTCTGTACGAGGACGGAAAATTAAAATTGAAATTAATTTAAATAAAAATAATTATTTTTATTTTGATGCAATCAATTTTATATATTAATTTTCTTTCTCACAGATTGTATTATTTATTTATTTTATATCATATAAAAGTATACACCCATTCTTTAATAGCAAAATTATTCAGTATACTTACTTTTTTTATTTAATTGGTAAAAATAATTTATATCGATATTAAAGTGTATTGATTTTATATTAAAATATCGTATCGATATTTAGAAAAATTTGCCCATCACTAATGATGATATTTTAATTCGTGCGCGGTCATTAAATTATAACATGAGTATGATAACCAGTGTACTTGATACGCGTTTGTTATCACTGAATTGTATATTTTTTAATCTTGTACCGTGGTTCAAGGTCACTAATTATACTTGCACATTATGCAACGAGGAATTTAAATTTTGTGTGAACAATTATTAATGAAAATGAATTGGTCATCAGTACACTCATCATATATCACAGTTTCCGATAATAACCGTTATGTAACACGCTTACCGGCGTGTTGAAGACGTTCATTATAAACTGTAATTATAGACTAACCGGTGTTTTGAATAGTAGTGAAAATGTTGAGTAGAACCATTAGATTAGCCGTTCTTAGCGGTACAGTGGCCACTGCTTATTCTTTGTACGATAATGATTTCAACATCGATTCAGTCAGCATTGTTCGATTCGGTCGAGCTGCGACTACAGTGAGTTATATTTTTCATTAAAATCATTCATTTCGCAGTGTAATTTGTGAATCGTTCAATTTTTAGGGTTTACATGTGATGTATCATTATAAGACTACTTTGTACGCGCCATCAGTAGACAAATCATTGCCAAATTATCAAGAAATTAGATCAAAGGTTAGTTAACATCTTTTTATGTTTAAATTTTTTTTTCGTAATATTTACATCAATACTTGATGTATAGTTGACAGAAAATTTTTATCATGCAATCGGTTAATGTGTTATAGTCTCATGAGAAAGCTGCTGAAATGTTGCTCGAACTATGTCGCTCAAACAAAGGAGTTTATATTAAAATTGGACAACACATTGGGGCTTTAGAAAATTTGTTTCCTAAAGAATACACTGTCACGTTGAAGGTGTTGCACAGCCAAGCACCCATTACACCATTAAAAGAAATTTACAAAGTGATCAAAGAAGATTTGAAACAAGATGTACGATTCTATATTAAAATTATTGTCCTACATTTTTCGGTTTAGTATTTCAAGTAGAGCGATAACTTTCAAGTTCAAATTATGCTAAATATTGTTCACTATATTTTATGAAATGTAATTATTTTTCATGTGTAAAGGTTGATCAGATATTCAGTGAAATAGATCCAAAACCTCTTGGAGCAGCTTCATTAGCTCAAGTACACAAAGCAAAATTACGATCAACAGGAGAGAATGTTGCTATTAAAGTGCAACATTCATATGTTCGTGGGGATGCCAAAATAGATATAGCTATAATTGAGGTATTTATAGTCTTTAAATATTTTAATTTTTTAACTATCATAATTAGTAAGTGAAATGTTTTACCTAAGAAAATATGAAACATCAAAGTTTTTTTATAAGTAATTATAATATTTATTATACTATTTTAGGCTTTGGTGAGAATCGGTTCCTATATTTTTCCCGATTTTAGATTTCAGTGGCTTGTTACTCAAACCAAACAGAATATACCAAAAGAACTAGATTTTACAATTGAAGCACAAAACACTGAAACCATTAGAAAAATGTTCAAGCATTTGAAATGGTTAAAGGTATTTTTATTTTTAACTTAATAACATTTTAAACATTCAAAAATACATAAATAAATATATGTATTATGTATAAATATAATAGTTGTAATTTAAAAGCTATAATTATTTCTAGATACCAAAGATATTTGATGAGTATAGTTCTCCTAGAGTCTTAACACTAGAATTTGTTGATGGTGGACAGATCAATGATCTTGAGTACATTAATCAAAATAAGTAAATTACCTAAAAATTATGTGATTTCACATAATCTGAATTAATTAACCTACTCTATTGGTATAAATATTTGTTATGCAATACAAAACACTTATATTTCAGATTAAATGTAAAGGAAATATCTGAAAAGTTGGGATCTTTATACAGTGAAATGATATTCAAAAATGGATTTGTACACAGTGATCCTCATCCTGGTAATTTGTTGGTAAATAAGGACAAGAATGGTCAGTTAAATTTAATACTTTTAGATCATGGACTTTATGCGGTAGGCTTTATAATACAACATATTCTGATTCCTATTTCATTAATTTATAATTTATTACAGACATTAACTGATAATTTTAGACGTACATATGCTAAGTTATGGATGAGTATATTGGATAATAACCATGATAGAATGAAAAAATATTGCACCAAATTGGGAGTAGCTGAAATGTATGGCTTACTTGTATGTATGGTAGCCGGGCGTACATGGGATTCAATTCAAGATGGTATTGTTACCAAGAAATTAACTCCTGCTGAAGTAAAACTGAAAAATTGCAATTCTACAGAAGTGTAATTATTAACATTTGTTTTGTTACATAGAAAGAAAAATTTCAAAGTGGGATTCCCTTGGTACTGACTGAAACGTTATATATTTTACAAACAGTTAATCCACAAATCTTGCTACTGTTGAAAACAAATGACTTAATACGTGGTATTGACACAACGTTAGGAACATTATCAAAGTAGAGTATTTGATTTATTCACTTTTGAAATAAAACCATTTTAATTTCTAATATATATATTTTAAATCTGTATAGATTGACATCTTTACATCCAATGACTGTGAGCTGTATAAACTCTGTATACGATAAACCTTTACGCAAGAGTTCATTTTGGACAGGGTTGAGTTTACATTTAAAAAAACAATGGTCGTTATTAAAAGTTAGAATATTTTACTTTTTTATTAACATTATAGATACTGCATAGTTATAGAATGTATTAAATTTGGATAGAAAGTTGTGTTTTTAAATATTAAACTTATATTTTTTTAATTTTGCTATCTATAAAATTATGTAAATGTATGTTAAAAGAAAAGAAAAAGAAAGTTAATATGTTTGATATTGCTCCATTGTATATCAGCCAAATAAACTGATGGCCCTATATGATTGCACCTATTCTCTCAAGTCTTATGAGTCTGTTGCTTATATAAAATCAAAAAGTATTTTTCAAGACAATGAAATAAATCTAATAATGTAACATATTTGTTATTTAATTAATAAGAAATAAATATAAAACACAGATTAGTGTTATCCATAATTTGTAGTTTATTCTGAGTTTTTATAAGATTATGTGTGAATTAAGAGAACTAATAAATAAAATTGGAAAAGTAATACATTGAAATTAGATTAATTTCTTAAAAGATATAGTAATGTATGATAATCCATAACGATAGTACATTTAAAGATAATTCTTATATTTTTATATCAACCTTTATCAGTTAAAAGATATTAACATATATAACATAAAATAAAATTATTATTATTTAGTAATAAACATGTTTATAAATCAATTATAGTTGATATAGACAATATACATTTTTTAATCAAAGAGCAATTTAGTCTATTACTCACTTAACATTGTCAATTTTGATAGTTGGTTTTATACCGAACACAGTTTTAATAATTAAAAAACTAATATATTAATGTTTAATTTACCTTTAGTCTTGTCTTTATTATTTTTATTGTAATAACTTCATAATAAACTTATTTAGTTTTCATAAAATGCAATAAGCAATTTGAAATGTATTATTGATATGCATATTAATGATTTATGCCACACTATTATTTAAAAGGATTTTTAACCTGCAAATTAAGGCTGGTGTAAAAACAAAATAATAATAATAATAATAATAATAAAACAGATCAATGTAATCAAATATGGGCATTTAAGTAGAAATTAAAATTATTATTAAAACTTAATTTAAATAAATCACTTGATCTAACTATGGTAACTAATATAATTTTAATTTTTCGGTTAATTTTATTTATTTTTTACTCTCAATGTATTTTTTTTATGTTTATTTAAATCTGAACATCTAGTAAATACTCTTGCAGAATTCATATTTTTATCCAAAATTAATTATCTTGTCTCCAATTAAATGAGATTTCTTTTACATATTTTTTCACAAATATCGCAATCAAATGGGTTTTTACCACTATGAATTTTTTTGTGCTCAGTTAGATTTGATTAGTCTTATAAAATGTCTGATACATATCTCACATTGGTATAGCTGTTTTTGAACATGAAATCGTTCTTAAAACTTAATATATACTTACACAGTTATACTTAATTTTCTATTATGTGCAATTAATTTATATTATTAAATATTATAAGATATAATTATTTTCATTAAAATAATCATTTATATACATAAATACATTTTTTCTATATACTTTCAAAGACTACAACAAATATTTTGTAGATTCAAATATTTTTATGATCAAAAATGTGGTCTACAAAATTCCTTATACATATATATTCAATAAATGAGTAAATGGTTAAGTATGGTGCAATATGTTTTATTGTATTTTACATTAAATTACTTTATTATTAGGTTTACATTATTAAATTATTAATTTAGCACTTGATATATGTTTAATAGTGCATATAAATAATATTTGATCTTTTTCGATCTTCAAGATAAAAATATGGTCTATGTTTCACTGCGACATTGGTGACAATAAAAATTAAATGGGTGGGTCTACCTATAAATTATAATACCTACCACTACTGGATACAAATATTAAAAAACTGGCATGATAATTGAAATAGTTAAGTTAAATATTTGTAGTAGGTGGGTGGGTGGGTGTTAATTAATTAATTTGATTTCGCTCCACTTAAATTTATAAGACTCGGCGCCACAGACCTTACTTATTACTTGCCTACTTCATAGTGGTTTTAGAAAAAAACAATATCAATTTGAAACGTACATAAATATAGGTTTAATTATTTAAATATTAAATACATTATTAAAATTAAAGAAATGTAAAACAAAAAACAGTTAATTTCATTTTTTAAACAACTGTAATTAAAAAAAAGAAATCTAGGTTAAAATATCCAAATTTATCCGTTTTTCTAAAAATTAGTACATTATACTATACTTTCTAATACAACTAGCTCAAATATTAAATTATAAGAATTAGCTCATAAAATTAATTCAACCTATATACGCTGTATATTACTATAAGTATAATAAATTACGTTAATCGTTATAATATCACAAAATCCTGAGTGATTTTTTTTTTTATCGTGAACCAGTTAATATTTCGGGAAGTATTAGGAATTTTAAAATAATTCTTTTTTTAAACTTTCCGGGTTTTACTATTTTACACTGTATTACAATTTTGATCATTTTAACTTCCTCCCTTAATTGATAAAATACTATCAACTTTCGATTTTCAAATGGCAATACCCACTTTCGATAGCGAAAATTTATAAACGTACTGAAAAAAATAATTTTAACGTTAACAGCATTTAATTTCAGTAATCAGTTTGCGACTTATTACCGTTAAAATATTCGTTCAATTTAATGTTACTTGTCATTTTATCAAACCTAACAGTAAAATCCAGAAATCAAAACGGAATGATATCTCAATTTAACAATACCCATAACGGTCATAATCGATAATAACTGTGATATTATTGCTACTAACAAGTCAAATAATTAGATACTAATTTTTAGAAAAACGGATAAATTTGGATATTTTAACCGATTACCAAAAAAAAGATATTTCAAAAATGTTTCATGGGGCTATTGATAATTCAAGTAACTATCTTAAAATGTTTAAAAGATGTATTTGCATGCTGTATAATAACTTTTAAACACTGATAATCGAGAGGCGTTTAGCTTCATCATGTGTGCGAAATAGATATAAATGTCAATGTACATCTTTATACTTGATATGCTATAAAGACATGCATTGATAGGCGAATTGCTCTATCGCATCATAGTATCCTACTATCTATAGATCGACTGTCACTTAATTTATACATTCCTAAGATTTACTAACTAGAGTGTAAATTTATCCACCCAACCCACCCCAAAGACACCCAGCACAATGGTTAAATAAAGGGGCGAACTGCCCCATAAAAGTGCGTGTTCGGTGACACTGGATGCAGCTCAAAAATGTAATTTACCTTCAAATATTTTGTAAAAAATAAATGTTCCGTAACAGAAAAATTAAAACTAACTTTTCTCACAAAAACTAATAATAATGTAACAGACATTAGTAGAATCAAATATTAATATTTTAAATGTTTTGATAAATTATAGTACATAGTTAGGGTTGCCATATTTGTCTAAGGTCTCGTCGGGACGTTCTAAGAATTCCAGGATGGAGTGTATACAAATACTCAAATTTTGATATAAAAATTAGAGTTCTTTATTTTATATAAATTATTTATTTATTTATTTAAGTTAGATATAAAAAAAATATTTTTAATTTATTGCAGAAGTACTTGGATGGCCATACTTTTCAGATGATTTTGATTTTTTCAACAGTTCTTTTTCTCCTTTAACATATATGTAGAACTCTGCGCAAGTCATGTTATAATTAACTTGGCACTGTAATATAGACTCAATAGTCTCTGGGAGCAGGCGATTTCGTTCATCAGTCCACTGGGCCGACATTAACGAAAAAACTCTTTCCACTGTGGCATTGTGTGCAGGGATTGCAAACAAATACTCGCATAATTTTAACAATTGGCATTTTCTTTCACGATGTTCAGTTTCTTTAAAAAAATAAATCCATTTCTCTTCCACCGAATTGATCGCCTTCTATTCTTCCGAAGTTAACTTCTAAAAAGTTCTTAAGATATATATATTGCTTAAATAGATTATCGCTCAAAGTAACACCATTATTATTGAGATATAAAATAGTGTTTTCAATTTTTTCCCATTCCGGGGTTTCAGATAGCGTCATCCAGTCAAATACTTCATACTTATCAAATGAAACGGACCACTTTTTAGATACTCATAAGCGGTGTTAAAAAATGATACTGTTTCTTCTTCAAATTTTGCAATCAAAATTGTCGTTTCAGGTGTAGGATTCTCATTTTTAAGTTTCTGCATTTTCATTTTGGTTTGGAAGCCAATAAATTTAGTAGATTTCCTTTCAATTAGAAAGTTTTGTGTTTCGTATAGTATTTTTCTAATTTCAATTATTGACACTTTGTTCTTTTCAACGCTTTTTATATTTTTTTCAAAGAAATTCAAGTTGGGATGCAGAAACAGGAAATAAATTTCATTAATCGGACTTTTAAAAAAATCTGAAATAATTTTAGGCACTCTTTCTTCCGAGTCAAAAAAATTTTTGAGCGGTGTCCAAAGTTTCTTTCAACCGCGGGCATTAATGACAGCCATCTTGTTCGTAAGTGTGACAAAAGAGTCTGATGATTAATATCAACAAATGAACAGAACTCTTTCAGTTTCTCCGTCCTAATAGTATAAATTTCAAAATAATTAAAAATTTTAAGAACAATAACTTCTACATCTACTGATAATATTCCAGAAGCCCTTGAAAATGTATTGTGCAGAATATGGGCTGGACATCCAATACCTTCTATTGGTTTTTCCAGGTCTTCTTTTATTTTATGAAAAACTGCATTGACCGCGTCGTTGAAGCCCTCCGAAATTGGTATTGGTATTGTCCCCACAAAAAGCAATTAGCTTATCCAATGGAATCTGCAATTGTCTTAAAGTGTCGAGACAATAATTGGAGATAGTTTCAGATGTTTCATTTTTTAAAGAACCAAACTTCAATAGCTTCTGTTGGATACCATCGTGTTCAGTGAAGTATTGAACAAGTAAAGGAAACATTTTTTCAGCTTTGTGATTGGACGCGTCAGTACCTATTCCGTAATATGAAACTTCTTGCAATTTTTTTTTTTATTTCTGAGACAGAATGAGATGCGAGAATATTTCTAACTATTGCTGTAGCCTTCGTTCTAGCTGTGGATTGTTTAGCTGCAATTTTAGAGTCAGGATACATCGTGGCATTCAGTTTTACGATACAATCAAGTGAACTGAAAGACTGGTGATGTTTTACAACTTTATAAGCTGTTGTTAGTTCCGCTGCCGTAATAAGCAACTCTTCTTGGGTATCTTGTTTAATCATAAATTTGGATATGGGCGATGATGTCGATACAACAGCGAATTTTTTTTTGTGATTAGTCGTAGAAATGTGGTGCTTTACGTCAGCTTTACCTCCGTGAGTAACTGATAAAAAACAGTTACAATATGTAACATAGTTTAATAAACTATGATATAAAGATCAACGAATTAAATTAAAATAATAAACGAAAAAAATCTAACTTTACCGATTATAAACTAACTAAAGTCTTATTTTATAGAAGACAAAATTTGTTAGTATACATTTCCGAAAAATTACTATTGGTTAGAAATTGATTATTTATTTATACATTTATTTGCTGGAAAACGAAATGGATTTTATTTCCATTTTGGAAGTTGGCATTAGCTTTTTTTTGTTCGCTGTTATCAATTGTTATTAAAGTCGAAAAAACTGTATCCATCCCACAGATATCTATATTGTACTAGATGACGACGAACGGTTCTTCGCAGGAAAAAAATTTGTGATCCATGATGTCAAAAATGTCCACCAGAGTGAATCACGTCTAGTCTAATCCCTATCATCTTATCAGTTATCGTTGATAAAAAAACGATTCATGATAATATAGTATTGTGATTATATGATTTGAATTTTTTATTTTTTATTATATTTTATAATTTTATATTTTATTGTAATCATGTATAATTGCCAAGTTTGTGATGCTAAATATTTATCAGTCTCTGGGTTAAATAAGCATTTAAGAACTAAGCATAAAGATATTCCAAAAATTAAAAATTTATACTATTGTAATGACTGTGATGCATCATTTGATTTTAAATCTGATATTATAAAACACACCAAGACTCATTTATATGGTCAGAATAGTAATATGTTATGTTCATATTGCACAAAATCATTTCTATCTATAAAAGGATTAATTGTGCATTTAAAATCCCATAACATTAATATCGAGCCCACAATATTACATTTTAATGCTATAGAAGGTATATTAATTTATAATTACATTGCTAACTTATTGTTTTCTATGTACTCAGTGATTTAGGTTACAGTATTTGTTTTTACTTTTGATGTTTCTGTGGACATGTATGTATTATTATTACAACATTTTTCAGTCACTACTGCAAAGTATCGTTCCTCATAAAATTTTTGTTCAGTATTAATATTGTTTAAATGTTATAGGTGATTTATATTTGGTTAACATTTATACTCTTACAAACTCTAATTTAATTGTTTCCTGAGAAAATTGAAGATGAGTGGAGGATGCAACCTTCGTTTGTTAAAACATTTGTAGCATATTTAAGTATTTACATTTATTGATGGTGAAAAACAAAATTGTTTAATTATATAATTATTATTATATATTTATATATAT